TATTTAACATCGTATATTATTTACTTTTTGGAGTACAGATAAATGAAATCACATAGTTTGTACGTAGATCCCATAACAAAATATCAAATCTCAGATACTCCCAAAAATCAAATTTAATAAATGGTATGGTCCACCTGATTAATTCATGCAACTCAAAACACTTTATGTTCTTGATTTCACGATAGTGTAAAGACGACCACTCAAATACTATATGAATATCGTCGTTCGTTTTATTTTGTGTTTTAGCTAGATATTTTTTGTTTTGACAACTCACGATCATTCCAACTTTTTTGGTGGGGATAAAAACAGTTATTTTTTTTTTATATAATTTATACATTCCTCCCTGCTGACTCGATCTAGGATGACTTTCTTCGTTCACGTTCTATATATATACAAATGATGTACTTATTCGGAGAACAAAAAAAAGCGGAGGCTTATAATAAGAAACAAAAATATATACATATATATTCTGTCAATAGTTTTGAGTCAAAATTAAAAGTAGTTTAATTAGAACCAGTCTACGGTGTATATATGTAAACTTGGTCGAGTATGTAAATTCTGTTTTTCATTGACCAAGTATTTACTTACTTTATTAGTTATTTTTAATTAGTAATTGTTTCTTTTCTTGGATAGAATTTATGCACTTTCGTATTTGTTTCTTGTTCTTACGTTTTTTTTTTGCTAAACTGTTTCTTGTTCTTACGTTCAAAAGTAATATTAATTAATACACTTATTCTTTAACAGTATGTAAATAAATCCCAACTGTTAATACACATTTGACCATTACGAAATTTGAACTTGATTTTAATTTTGTTTCAAATATCTAGCTATACGAGTACATCTACATGTGCATGTATCAAAATCAGCAATTAATAACGACCGTTGGCAGGCCTAACCATAAAAGCCACGTGTACCCTTTAGATGTAGAGGACTTGACAGATGTCATCATCCTAGCTTCTTAATTTCAGAGTACATGGTTCGCGACCGGGACGCGTACATAATGTGGCGCACATGATCGTTATGATAACAAATTGACAAAAGTAGCAACTATAGTGAAAGAGAACTGACCCGATTTGTCAGTGGCAATAATCAAGTGGTTCTTGATCTTGTTTTTGTTAAAAGAGGATAATTTTAATTCGAACTCATTTAGGAAAATATATTTCCGAATGATTTTTTCGAAGAACATAGATTGAAGATTGAATATGTATATAGAAAAAAATTGTGGACCCTTTCTTTAAAAAAAAAAGATTGTGGATCAAAAGGTCTAGAATTTTCATGGTTTATAAAAAAATAACCACTGTATAGAAGATCACGTGTAAGATTTGGTCCCATACAAAAGAGATATATTCATAGTACGTGATGTGACTGGTTTGGTGGTGTGGTAAGTGCGACCGTACCGTTCTAACTCCTAATATACGGCGTTTTCTTTGTCATTAAGTGCATGACTTTTCATGGCTACATAACTTTTCATGGCTACATTAACTATTTAACTTTGAAATTGCCGTGAAAAGAAAGCTTTGGTGATTGTAGGGATGGGATTGCATATTAGGCTATTCTATTTTCGTGGTGGATAACAATCGACTATGGATCAACTTCCGTAATTTGATCAATTTCATATCATCCTCATCAGTTTAATTTATTCACAATTACAATAAAGACATATGAAGTGCATGCAACGCTCGTATTCACAACCGAATCCCAGGGCTTTAAATGCATATATAGTTTATAATTATAATCTATAGTACACTAATATCTCTATTAACGAATTTTGAACACTAATCTCAATCAATAACAAATCAA